TTTCAACTTAATAAATGCTTACTTTAAACTTTTTTGACTTAATATTATTAAAAAACAGCTGCATAAACATTAAGTATATGCGGCTGTGGTGTTGTGGTAGAGCGCTCGCTTCATAAACGAGTGGTTCCGAGTTCGATCCCCACCACGTCCCTGGTAGTACCGCGCTTAACTTGTTTCTCCGCGCAGCGGCCTTGCTCGTCAAGGTTCATGTTTCGGAGTTATAGAGTTGAGAGAGGGTTATAACCACAAATAAGTAGCCTCCTCGTCTGTAGTGGCCTTCTCGGCCTTGAGGAGGTGAATTAAAATAAATAAAAAAAAAGTAGTGTTTTTAGACCAATAACAACTTTACAATATTGTTTTAGTTCTGTTTTCAGACAGAATACTTTTGGTTGAAAAAAATTTTGATGAATTAAAGAATTGAATAACTTTTTGTTAAAAAAATCTAATTTTTTTTTAGCTTGCCCTTTTATACTTTAATGGAAATCTGAATATCCTAACTATTAGTAGCAATTCCAGAGCGCAAAAAAAAAACATTTGATTTTTGACATAAAACACATAATTATCATGAACTTTACTCTCTTATATCTTTTTTTATTATAAGGCTAGAACCTTGGGATTTTTCGCAACAATTAGTTTGACTCAACTTCTTTCTAACCATATACAGAAAGTTCTATGCTTAATATGGCTTCTTCATATATTATTCATGTCTTAAGATCGCTAAAAAAAAAACTTGCTGCAGGACACGTTTTTTCAAAAGTAGTTTTTGAAGGTAAAATTTCCTAAGTACCAAAACACATCAAATTTGTTTGAAAATTTCTATATAGATTTAAAAAAGATAAGGAATCTAATGGAATGAGGAACCTTTTTAACATATATACATAATTTCTAAGTTCTCAGCATTTAAGAACTTTAAGGTCAGTTTAAAAAAAAAAAAAAAATTTTTTGAAAAAGTTCCCTAAGAAAAAGTTCCTCTACTTTTTTTTTTTTTTTTTTTTATTTGCATTTACTCCCAGCAAGTCTGCAAGCAACCACTATTAAGTTGGGAGTTACTAGGAAGAAAAAAAAAGAACAGAGTTACAGAGCAAGGTTTGACAGAAGACTTGAAAACGGTTGACAGAAGACTTGAAAAGTTGAAGGTTTTATGAGTCAGGAAAACATGAAGATGGGAGAGAGTTTCAAAGGATTGAAGTGCAGGGAAAAAAACTAGATGAATAAAAGTTTTTAGAGCATGCAGGGACAGATACAGTAAACAAATGAGACTTAGCTAAATGACTAGTAAAACAAGAATGAATTTTAGTTGATGGAACTAGAGATTATAACTCCTTTGAGCAGTGACCATGATAGTATTTGCAGAAAAGAAAAAGAGATGCAACTTTATGACGATGAGAAAGAGGCTCAAGCTTAGCAGATAGTCCAGGTCCAACAACATTTACAATGCGTTTTTGGACCTTGTCAAGAAGAGAAAGTGAATCGTTAGAAGAACCAGCCCAAATATGACAACAGTATTCCATACAGGGATGAAAAAGAGATTTGTGGAGGTAGAGAATGGAATCAGAAGTAAGGAAATGGCGAGCACAATAAAGAGAAGCAACCTTAGCAGAAGCAAATTTAGCAATCGATTGTATAAATGGTTTCCATGAACAGGTCAGTAGTAAGCGATAATCCAAGAAGACGTAAAGAGGAAGACTCAGTAAGAGGATTGTCATTCATTAATATTGGAATGTTGACCATATTATGGTAGTTGTTTGCAGTAAACAACTGGGTTTTGTTAGAGTTGAAATTCACAAGCCACTGTGAATCCCAATCTATTACTGAAGTGAGATCAGATTCAAGATCAGCTGCTTGTTCTAGGCGATCGAAAAGAGAAGACTTTTTGTCAAGACAGGAGTATAAAGTTGAGTCATCAGCAAAAAGAGCTACTTTAGATGAAAGGTTGTCAGGAAGATCGTTTATGTAGATGAGAAACAAAACAGGGCCCAGGATGGAACCTTGGGGAACCCCAGAAGTTACTGGAAATAAAGAAGAGTGTTGGCCTTCAAGGATGACTTTAATAAACCGGTTAGAAAGAAATGATTTGATAATCTCAAAAACTTTCCCAAAAACACTATATGAAGCAAGCTTATGGAGAAGACCAGCATGCCAAACTTTGTCGAAAGCTTTAGATATGTCGAGAGCAATAGCCCTAGCCTCACCGCCTCCATCTAATGCACGATAAAATCTTTCAGTTACAGCAGTTAGCAAGTCGGCCGTAGAGCGAGAAGATCGAAAACCATATTGATTGTCTGACAGTAGTTTATTTGACTCAAGATGAAATGTGAGGAATTTGTTGATCAAAGACCTTGCTAATAACAGAAAGAAGACTAATCGAATGATAATTGAAGGTGTTAGAATTTTCTCCAGAGTTTTGGAATATTGGAACCACAAATGCCATTTTCCAACAAGCAGTAAAACAAGACTCAGTCAAACACTTGTTAAATAGTTTAGAAAGAATTGAAGAAAGTTCTGGAGAACAATTCTGCAAGACTGTGACAGGAATGTTGTTCGGACCACAAGCTGTAGACGAGTTTAATTGAGATATGACTTTAGCAACAGAAGCCTGAGTAATTTAAATGTCTAACAATGGGTCAACCTGTTTGACTGGAATGGAAGGAAGAGAATGTCCATAAGATTCAAGAGTGGAATTAGAAGAAAAGTTCTTTGCAAATAGTTCTGCTTTATCCTTGGGAGAGGTAATAAGATCAGTCCCATGAACGAGAGATAGAATGTTAGATCTACCCTTGTTAATAATGATGTTGAAGATTTTCCAAAATTCTTTAGAGCCTAACTTCTGTGATAAGATGCGAGGTTTAATGAACTGAGAATAATGGAGTTTAGCATCAGAAAGCACCTGAAAAAAATGATTATGATTGGATATAGCAGCCGCACAAGGAGAAAACCATGGAGTAGAATGAGGCTTGACTTGAACCCGACAAGAAGGAATAAAAGCTTCCATTCCAGCCTGAATCCAGGAGGTTACGTAGGAGGCGCATTTTTCAGCTGAGAAAAAACATCAGCCCAAGGACCATCACGAATAAAATCACAAAAAGAATCCCAGTCAGCTTTAGGGTAGTAGTAGGTGGTGCGATGATAAGGTGAGCCCAAAAAAGAAGTATGAGAAAAAAGATTTATAGAGATCATTGCATGGTCAGAGCCACCTAAGGGAGAAAAAGGAGAAACTGAACATAAGCTAGGGTCAGAGACAAGACATAAGTCAAGGTGTGAAGGTAAATGATTAGGGTTGTCAGGAAAACGAGTCACAAACTATCTGAGTAAGAGATTGAGAAACGCAGAAGTTAAAGGCTTTAGTGCCAGCAGGATCAGTGGTGTTAGAGCCAAGCCATTCGGTGTGATGGGCATTAAAATCACCAACAACAACAATATTGGCAGAGGGGTAAAGAGAAATGACATGGTCAATTTGATCAGAGATAACATCTAAGATAGTGCAATCATGGGAAGAAGGAGAACGATAAAGAACAAAGAGAAAGGTGATAGAGTGAAGAGGTGCTAGGCTAAAGCACATAAAAGAATGGTCGAAGGATTCGAACCTGATTTCACGACAAATAGGGGAATTAATGCGTATGTATACCCTTAAACCTAGCATGTGACTATTTGAGTCTTTACGAATCAAAGGATAGTACCCATCAACACTGACAACTGAAGAAGGAATTGCAGAATTTAAATTTGTTTCACTGACTGCAAGCAAGTCTGGTGAATTTTGCAGGAGGTAAGACTCAACTGATGGAAAGTTGCTTCGTAGACCCCAAATATTTGTAAAAGATATATTAAAATATTTAGGTGGTGAGATGGTTTTTTAGGTTTAAAATTTTTGGTTACTTTGGTCATGATTTGGGTTTAATGAAAATTTGACTCATTCATAGATAGAGCACAGCCTCCTAATCAATGAGCTATGCAGTTGTCTCAGTCCTGTTATTTAACCCTAAGCTGTGACATGAGGCTCCTTATGTGGCCTTGACAATGCACACCAAAAGCATTAACAGAGACACCATCCATGCGCAACATGGCACTGTTAATACTCTGATATTTTGCAGCTGTTGATTGAATCAGCCTCTCTGAGAGTTACCACAGAGTTCAGGAAACCTTACTACCAGCCGGCCTCAGAACCATTAAACTGAGTTTTAGAGCTGTACCTTCATATGGAGATAACAGGAAGAGTTGCATAGCCATTATCAAGGAGGCATAAGCAAAATTCTATGAGTAGAGTCAAGGAGATCCAGCATTCATCATCCTAGACAGGAAGTAATGTAACACAGGTTACATCTACGCCAGCCTAATAGATGAAGCCTATCAGATTTAAATTAAAATTAAAGATGATTTAAAATTAAATTTAATTTATATACAATTATATATAATATAATAATTTATATATATATATATATATATATATATATATATATATATATATATATATATATATATATATATATATATATATATATATATATAATATATATTATATATATAATTAATATATATATATATATATATATATATATATATATATCATATATATAATTATATATATAATATTTTATACATGTAAATTATATATATAAATTTACTTTATATATAAATATATATAAAATAATAATTTATATATATAAAATAAAATTAAATTAAATTTAAAATTATAGATGAAGCCTAATAGATTTAAATCAAGTATTTATTTATGTTTTCTTGAAGAAATGGTACTTAAGAACTTTGTTCAGAAATTATGTATATGTTTTTTTTTACCTTTGCGTATCATTTTTTTTGATTTTTGCGCTTAATTTTTGATGTTTTTTTATTTTATTTCGGTAGTTTTTCCTGCACGAAAAATTAATTTTGAAATTTAAAAGATCCCCTATTTAAAAGAAATTTATAAGATCCCTTACATTTAACCTGTTTTTACATAACGTTTTAAATTAAATAATACTTTTAATGTAAAGGAAAAAATGTCATACCTTCTGCAATTTTGTTTTCTCAGTTTATTTACAGACCCTGTTGTTAAGCCAAAAACTTTATCACATTGCATACAATTGTTTATTTTTGAAGCATCTAACCAATGAGACTTTCGAATTTTAAACAAAGCTCTAGAAAACCTTTTATCAATACTACTAAGTCTTTTAATACCATCCAACTCGTCCTCTTTTCCAAGGTCACTATCTAGCTCAGCATTTATTGAGCTAAGACTATCTTTGAAATTAGTACCAACTAAAAAACTTTGTGACTTGAACAAACCAACTGCTGGTATTAAACTAGATTCATTCGGCAAAGGAAGAGTAGGCTGTTTAGATTTAAATACTGACAAAAAGTCCATCTTTAAACTACTAGCCATTTTTATGATTGTCTAAGTTCAGAACAAATAATAATAATATTTAAATAAGTTTTCTCGCCATGTGACATGCATAGCTGATTTTCATTTAAATTAAATGATTTAAGAAGCATACTTTATTAAAATTTAAACTATAAACAAATCTAATATATTTTCTCGTTGATCATTTTTAATTGAATTTTTTAAGTAAAATTCATTTAAATAAATCACTGTACAAGTTTCCGACCACGAGAAGACATTTTCAGATGCGCTTCTTCGCAAACGCCGTTAAAATTTAAATTTTAAAAGACATCAATTTATGAGTTTTTTTTGTTTTTTTTTATTTTAAGTTGATTAAGGCAATGACGTAAATAAATAACTAGATGTCTAACTTCGGGATTTTTATAAAATAAAAGTGAAGCCGATTTATTTGTTTACTATTTTAATCAGCCATTATTATATCGGGCAGAAAACAGTAAATATCATATATAATATAGAGAGTAAATTCGCGACATAATTTCTTTTACCTTGCTGAAGTATTTATTTAATTCAACTATTTTCATCACAAAATGGTAAATTCTTGTGCTGCATATGGATGTTCTAATAGATACATAAAAGGTGGCAAGAAATCCTTTCATAAATTTCCTTTTCAAAATTCTGAATTATGTAAAAAATGGATTATTGCTTTGAAACGTGAAAATTTTCTTCCATCCAAACACACCTGTATCTGCAGCGACCATTTTTTAGAATCAGACTACAATTAATGTATCCCAGACAAAAAAAATCTAATTCTTGATCATTATCATAAGCCTATTTTAAAATGTAATGCTGTGCCATCAGTTTTTGTATTTTCTACAAATATTCAAAAGACTAAAAGGAAACTCCCATCAATACGAACATCAGTAAATTCATTATCTAAATTTGATTCTTTTTCGAAAAAAACAAAGTTTGATGTTTGCCCTGTTATAGACAAACCAAGCAAAGAAATTAATTCAACACATAATGATCAGTCAGAAAGCACTATTGAACAAAATGACCACACTAGTCAATCTCCAACACAATCTATAAAATCTTTATCACCAGCAAAAGAAAAATTAAAAAAAAAAAGTTAAGGTTTTACAACAAAAATTAAGAAAAAAAGAAAAGAAAATCTGCTCTTTACAAGACATGGTTTCCCTTTTAAAATCTAAAAATTGTTTGACCACTGATGCTGGAACTGTTTTAAGCGAAAATTTTTCTGGACTCTCATATGAAATTATTAAGAACCAATTTTCCAATCAAAATATTAACCCAAAAGGTCACAGATACAACGATGAAGTAAAAAAATTCGCTTTAACCCTTCATTTTTATTCTCCTCGTGCGTATAACTTTCTTCGGCCAATGTTATGTCTTCCTGCTGCCAGTTCAATATCACTTTGGACATCATCTGTAATTTGTGATCCCGGTTTATTCCTTGATGTTTTTTCATATCTTGGTGATAAACAGAAAACAGATATTAATTTTAAGCATTGTGCTCTTATTATTGATGCTATGGCAATCAAAAACAGTATAATTTATGACAAAAGTTCAGGTCACTATATTGGTTTTTGTGATTTTGGTAAAGATATTTCTGTATGTGAACCTGATACTCCAGCTACAGAGGCATTAATTTTTATGTTAGTTGGTTTGCGAGGACATTGGGAAACACCCATTGGTTATGTTTTATCAAATAAAGTTAAAGCAAGTGATTTAACATGTTTTATCAAAAATATTTTAGATGTGGCTTTGACATATGAACTTTGTATCAAAAGTATTACATTTGATGGTACTAGTAGAAATTTAAATTCCGTTGTCCCATTTGGATGTAAGTTTGGCAATGTCATAGACAATATAGTTAGTACTTTTTTATATAACAACCAACTGCTCAACATTTTCCTAGACCCATGCCATATGCTTAAATTAGCTAGAAATTCTCTAAATGATTTGGGTGTTTTTATTGATGATGAAGGCTGCTATATTAAATGGAGTTATATTAAAGCTTTGTTTGAGTTACAAGAGCTTGAAGGTTTAAAATTTGCAAACAAAATTTCAAGAAAACATATTGAATTTCATCGCCACAAAATGAATGTTAAGATAGCTGGCCAAACACTTAGCAGCTCTGTTGCTGATGCAATGGAATTTTTAATGGTAATTGAATTTTTAATGGTAATGCAATTGAATTTTTAATGGTATCGCAGCATCCATCTTTCTTAGGAGCAAGTAGTACAATCCGTTTTATAAGAGTTATTGATAAATTATTTGACATGCTCAATTCCAGAAATCCAAATGGTAAACACTTTAAGAAACCTCTATATCTAAATAATCAGCTTTATTGGAAAGATTTTTTAAACACTACGATTACTTATCTGAGCAAGTTGACTGATATTAATGGCATTCCATTGCTTTTACATCGAAGAAAGACATTTGTTTTAGGTTTAATTGTAGATGCTAAAAGCACTCTAAAATTATCCTTCGATCTGTTAAAACTTCATGAGAAGCCATTTAAGTATGTTCTAACTTACAAATATTCCCAAGATCATCTTGAACTACTATTTGCTTGCATTCGTGGAAAAAATGGTTACAACAACAATCCTGATGTAGTGCAGTTAAAATCATCGTTAAAACGGATTCTTCTGCGAAACTCCATTGTTGGATCGAGTCATGCTAACTGCCTAATGTTTGAGCCATATTCTAATGGCTCTATTTTTTCTCTTAGTTGGAAAAAAAGGTTGTGTTCTGTTGATAATTTTGACCAAGAGGATATTGACTTTGAAGAAGTGTTTTTGTACTGCGATGAACTTCAAATGTCTAGCTACAAAGAAGCAATATTGGGATATATTTCTGGTTTTATAGTCAGAAACTTGATAAATACTATTTCATGTAATGTTTGTGCTCAATCATTAACTGATATTTTATCATACGAACATTCCTATGCGAAATCTCATTCTTCGTTAAATAATGTGAAAAATCGTGGTGGTTTGTTTTTGCCATCAAGGGATGTTGTTTTTGTTGTAGAGATGTGTGAGAAAGTATTTAACTTCTTTATTAGTGGTAAAGATTTTAAAAATCCAAAAATAACCTCAGATAAAAATATAAAGCATAAGATGCTCCATTGTGTTAACAAATTAATTATTAAAAAAAAGTCTTTAAAGGACTTGATAGTCACGACATAGAATTGTGGACTGAAAATGAAGATTTGCATTCCAGCCAGCTTGTTAGAAAGATATGTGAATATTACTTTAGAATTCGAATGTTCAGATATGCCCAGGACTATACCACTAAAGTTCTAAGTAAGTCGTCAATTGGTTCAAGACAACAAACAAATAAATTAATATTGTTCAAGGGTTTATGAATATTTCATTTTATTGTATAAAACTTTAATTAAAATAATAAAATATGTTATGCGATGTTTTAGTTTGATGTTTTAAATGCAAATATGTTTTTAAATATATATTTTTGTGGCTATAAAAATAGCCGTTTGTTTTAGTTTGTTATAACAAACTTAACATGCTAACGTTAGCATGTCCAATCTTTGACTAACAAATATGTATGTATTGACTGTATGCTCACTAAATTGATCGTTTGTGATTCTAATCATCTTTAATTCCAAGAATAAGGACGTTAAAATTGCCAATATCTTTTTATAAGAATGTGATCGCTAAAAGCTTTTTGCCCGATATAATAATGGCTTCCAACGCATTAAATTGGCTTCACTAAAAACGGCGAAGTTAGATATCTAGTTATTTATTTACATCATTGGATTTAGGTGCCCCAAGAAGTCCTTACGGTCTTATCACAAAGCACCGCTGAAGAGCATTTAATAGGAAGTTCACGCCTCCTTCCCAACCGATGTCGTAAAACTTGCCCAGAGGTGGGGTTTGAACCACGGATCTTACGTTTCTGAGGCAAGTGCGCTATTACTGCGCCACGGCTGCTCTTAAAAATATAATTAAAATAAAACTGTATGAAAATTAATTCCAAAAAAAGAGTTAAATCCATAATAGAAATTTTATTTTAATTATACCGTTAAAATTTACTAAGCGCTCCTATGTTTAATAGAACTGAGATCAGAGTCATGATCAACTGCCGGTTCTAAAGAGAAGAATTTTTGTCTAGGCATAAGAATAAAGCTGAGTCATCAGCAAAAAGAGCTTCTTTAGGTGTAAGGTTGTTGCAAAAATCATTAATGAAGATATGAAACAAAACACGACCAAGGTTAGAATCTTGATGTACCCATAAAGTTTCCGGAAAATGAAAAGAGTCCTCAATGCCTTCGAGGATAACTTTAATAAAGCGGTTAGAAAAAAACAATTTGATAATCTCAAAAACTTACCCAGATACATCATGTGGAGCAATCTTATGGAGAAAACCAGCCTGTCAAACTTTGTCGAAAGCTTTAGACATGTCAAGAGTAATAGCCTAGCCTCTCTAATGTGAGTTTTTAGTCACATCAGTTAACAAATCAGCCGTAGAGCAAGAGGATCGAAAAACGTATTTTTTGTTTGACAGTAAGTTATTTGACTCAAAATAGGTTGTGAGAAATTTGTTGATCAAAGGCTCGAAGACCTTGCCAATAATAGATAGAAGACTTATCGGACAATAGTCGGAGGGGTCAGAATGTTTAATAAATCTGTTGAAGATTTTTCAAAAGTCTCTAGAGTATAACTTCTGAGACGAGTTTAAGTAAAATATAATATAAGATAATAAAATACAGGACTTCGTGAACTGAGAATAAAGGAGCTTATAAAAGTTTTATAATTTACATTTTCGCATATACTTTTGTTCAGAATTTCTTATAAAAAAAGTGGTGCGGCTCTTTCTCGCCATTACCTCAGTTGCAATGGCTGTTAAGAGTCAACACTACTGGGCATTTGTTTTTCAAAGTTACTTTCTAAATGTCTTTTCAACGTCTATTAAACATCTTTTCAACGTCCTTTATGTAAGAATGTTTAGAAGACGTTTAAAAGACATTTAAAATACATTTAGAACGTAACTTTTAAAAACAAATGCCCACTGGGTACTAACACTGTTCAGAATTCAGAAATACTTTGAAAATATTTAAAATAGCAGGTGACATTCAAAAAATATCATTTTAGCAAATATCGTTCAAAAATAGTTAAACAAACTTAATAATTAAAAAAAAAAGTTGTTATCAAAAATTTTGTTAGGCAACTGAGAAATATTTTGTCATAATATGGTTGAAATATATATAGGACACAATCCTTACTTTTTTTATATACAAATATTTAAACTTGGTGTATTATTTATAAACATTCAATGTTTC